ATGTCTTCCTCTCAGGTCTTCTTTCACTAGTGTTCAGTGCATTAAATCTGTTTTTGAGATTTCTCAAAATTCAGGTGGGTTGTACTCACGGTCATATTTTGGATCTCATGCACTTAATTTAGGTTTTTTTCAGCTTCAATTTGAACTTACTCTTCAGATCGCAATGACCACACAGAATTCACAGACAATTTTTACATCAAAAAAAGTTTATTATGGAAGTTAACAGGTTAACACAAATCAGGATCCATAAACAGTAAGGATAGTCGTTGGTTCACAGTAACACCTCTCCTCAGCCAACTCAAGTCTCTCTCCAGGCCTCAGTCTCTTAGCCACATGGTCCCTGGGCCTCTGTTCCCATGGGCCATGGAGCTGGCCTGCATCTCTACCTCACTGTCTCATCTCAGTATTGCTCCTTTTTTCTCTCACGTGGTATCCTTGCCTTGGCCTCTGGCCTCAGCCTGGCTCCTTTGTTCTGTCCCACAGTCTTTGTGTCACAATATCTGGTGCCTCTGATCTCAGCCTCTGCCACATCATACCGAGAACTCAAATGTGCTCCACTAGAGGCTCTTTCTTGATGGTCCTGATATTTCTCCCACTTTCTGCTTATGAGACTCTTCTTTTATAGCCATAGCGATGGCAACTAAGCTGACGAATTCCCTATATTAGTGTTTCACACAACCTGTTTGTATAATCCCACCCAATCATTTGGTAGTAGTTGGAGAGTCATGGATAGAAGAGCCATAATAAAAGGTTTCACTTTACCACATCAGTCAGGACCCTTATCTTTGGTGTACCTGCATCCAGGCAAGGTTAAAAAACTCTTTTAGGGCTTCCAATAAATACCCAAATGGCATTCCACTGCCTTTTAAGCCTCAACCCAAAATGCACTCCGTTCTAGCTCTATGTGTTGGCCAATCCAGCTCCCCAAATTAAGTGTCCAGGGACACCCATTCCACAAGCCAGCTTCCTGCCCAGAGGCACTCAAAATTACTTACTGTATGGATTGAGAAGCCAACCATTCTGTCTTATGCTCTGGCTCCTGGTTCTGCTGCTGCTCCTCCTCTACCACTCCTTCTGTGTCCGTATTTTCTCCTGGATCAACGAGATTCATGCACAAGGATCTCAGGGTTCAAAGAACACAGGCCACACCTGACTTTTCTCTCTTACCATTAGTCAAATCTCCCCTCCCATTTCTGAGATGGATCATTTCATACTCACCAGAATGACAATCACAATTAGCTTGACAACCACTCACAGCTAAATCATATAATCCAAGCAATATCTTCCCCCACCTTCATACCCAGACCCATCAGGAAAATGAAGGTCTTTGTTAGGAGTAACAAAGAATATAGCTAGAAAAGCCATATTAAATAATTGACTGCAATGCAAGGGACCATAGAAATGGTTCTTCACTCTTAAAGGCCATAGGACAACCGAATCTCTCTCTCATGGGATGTGCACAATAACATATTCAATGGAAACTGTGGTCAGCAATTGTTCTTAAAACGGGCAAAGAAAAAGATGGAAAGAGCCTTTAATTGCTAATTGAAATGGTGGATCAGGAGACCGTACGTTCTATCTACCTCTTCTGCTCCCATTCTACGAGCTAGTTGGGTTAGAGGTTTGTTTGTTGTTGGTTTTGTTTGTGTTTGACTGTTGTTATTACTTACTACAACTTTTCTGAGGATCAAAAAGAGGGAAATTAGGCTTTGATTTAAGGGATAATTGAAATAAGGTGGAGGTGAGCAAAATGAAGTCAGTCCCTAATTCTCATTGCCACTGAGCCCATTTTTGACTCATAGTGACCATCAAGTTTCTGAGGCTGTAAGAGGGTTTACAAAGGGAATTGAATGCCCCATCTTTCTCCTACAAAGTGGCTGGTAGACTTCAACTGCTGGCCTTTTGGTTAACAGCTAGTATCCTAATGCACAAACAACTAGCCACAAGGGCTCTTTCTTTAGTCCCTAAGAGTATGGCAAACAAACCTGAAGTTGTGACATGGGTGGTATGATAGTTAAATTTTTCATGCCAACATGGCACCTGTAAGAAAATAAATGGAGTTTAGCCTGTCAATCAGGTTACAGCCTGAAGACCTCCCTTGGAGTTGTGGCAAAGATATATAGCTCTGTGGAGGCCAGCCCCACCTCTCTACCTTCACCTTCCTGCTGGCTGACCTTGATTGTTGCCAAAGTCCTACTATCACTGCCATTGGATCCACACGCCTCTGCACTCACCAACTGTGATATTCCTGCATTCTGCAGTATCGCTTGTGACTGTATGGTCTAGTATCAGACTCATGGACTTGAGTTGGATGTTTTCTTGATATATAATTACTTGTTGATATAAAACTCTCTTTTACACATATATGTGTCACTAGATTTGTTTCTCT